GTTTCTTCTTCTTTGGTTTCTTTATCTCTACCTTTTCTGTTACTTCCTCTGGTGCTTTCTCTTCTTCCTTTGGAACTGGTTTCAACGTGACTTCTTCAGTCACTTCTTCTGGAACCGGTTTTTCTTTCGGTTTCTTTTTCTTCAACGTTACTTCTTCTATAATTTCTTCCTCTTTCTCTTCTACAAGAACTGGTTTCTTGATAGTGATTTCTTCAGCAGCCTCTTCCTCGACAGGTTTCTTCTTCTTTGGTTTCTTTATCTCCACCTTTTCAGTTATCTCTTCCGGTGCTTTCTCTTCTTCCTTTGGAACTGGTTTCAGAGTAACTTCTTCGGTTACTTCCTCGGGAACCGGTTTTTCTTTGGGTTTCTTCTTCTTCAAAGTCACTTCTTCTACAATTTCCTCTTCTTCCTTCTCCACAGGCACCGGTTTCTTAATAGTAATTTCATCGGCAGCTTCTTCCTTGACCGGTTTCTTTTCTTTTGGCTTTTTGATTTCTACTTCCTCAGTTACTTCTTCAGGTACCTTCTCCTCTTCCTTAGGCACTGGTTTCTTCAACGTGACTTCCTCCTTCACTTCTTCTGGAACAGGCTTCTCCTTTGGTTTCTTTTTCTTTATCGTCACCTGTTCAAGAACTTCTTCTTCCTTTTTCTCTTCCACAACTGGTTTCTTAACGGTAACTTCATCAGCGGCTTCTTCTTTAGCAGGCTTCTTCTTTTTAGGTACCTTAATTTCTTCTGCTATTTCCTCAGGTTCTTTCTCTTTCGGTTTCTCCAAAGTAACTTCTTCTGCTATTTCCTCAGGGACCGGTTTCTCTTTTGGTTTCTTTTTTATAATTACTTCTTCTTTAACCTCTTCAACCACCTCTTCTTTCTTTGTGATCGTAATTTCAGCAGCTTCTTCCTCTTTCGCAGGTTTCTTTTTCTTTGACTTTTTCACAACTGCTTCTTCAACTACTTCTTCAGGTTTCTTCTTTAAGGTTACCTCTGTCACTATCTCTTCTTCTTCCACTACTTTCTCTTCCACAACTGGTTTCTTAATCGTAACTTCGGCGGGTGCTTCTTCAACAGGTTTCTCTGGTTTCTCTTTCAAAGTAATTTCCTCAATTACTTCTGGTACTTCTTCTGGTTTCTCCTCTTCCGGTTTCTTCAGCGTTACTTCTTCTTCCTCAGGAGCTTTCTCCTTGGGTTTCTTTGGTTTAGCTTTACGCTTCACAGTGATTTCTTCAGGTTCTTCTTTCGGTACTTTAGGAGCTTCTTCTTCTTCCTTTGCCGGGAACTCTTTTACTCCTTCATCTTCAGGTTTATCCTTTTTCCAGCCCTTCAACGTTATCTTCTCCGGCTCTTCTTCTGGTTTTTCTTTCTGAGGTATTCTAAATTTAACTTCAGGCTCTTCATCAGGTTCTGGTGGTTTCGGTTCTCCCTTTATCAATGGAATCTGTTCAATCTCTTGATCTGGTTTCTTCTTCGGCTCTCGTTCATACGGTTTTGGAACTGGCTCTGGCGCTGGTTTTTCCGGTTCTTCGTATTTCTCGGGCTCATATTTCTCCAGCTCTGGTCTGTCGAAGTCCAAAGGCTTCAACTCGTCGTGTTCTAATTTCACCTTCGGCTTTTCCTTCTTTTCTGGTTTAATTTCTTCTTCAGGTTCTGGTTTGGGTGGTTTTTTCAATGGCTCTTCAACCTCCTCCGGTTTCTTTTCAGGAATCTTCTTTAATTTGACCTTCTCAGGTTCCACCTTTTCCTCTTCGGGCACCTTGCCTTTACCAACCACCAACTTCTGTGGCTCTTCAGGTTTCTCCGCAGGTTTCTTCGGCGGACGTTCGTATATCGATTTATCCTCCAATTTCTCCAAAGGTACTTTCTTCAATTCTTCAAATTCTTGGTCCAATTTCTCCAATTTTGTAATTTCTTTCTTAGGAAGTTTAACTTTCTTCACTTTTCTCTTCAACACTTCCAGAGCTTCTTCGGCGTTTCTAGACAGAATACCCGTTTGAACCGGATTTTCTTCAAGTTCCGTTATCTTTGGGTACTGTATTTCTGGGGGGTAGTCACCGACGAACGTGAGTCTGCTACGCAACAGGATCTTCGGGAATTTGGCTTCCTCGACTTCTTTCTTCTTCGGGACTGCCACTTTCTTCAATTTGATCGCAGCGAATTGGACAGTTTCTGTTGGCTCTGAATATTTGAGCTTCGTGGGTTTGATCTCTTTCCTTTCGATCTTTTGAGGGACCAATTTTTGCAATGATTCTGGCAAAGGTTTCTTCTCCTTCTTCTTCTTTGGTTCCCATTGGATTTTCTCAGGCATGGGTTCCAGTACAGGTCGTTCGTATTCTGGTTCAACCCATTCTTCGATTTCATCTTTCTTCACCACCTTCTTTTTCTTTTTCTTCACAACCTTGGCTTCCTTTGGTTTCTCCTTTGGAACTTCTTCCGGCTTTTCTTCTGGTACTGCTTCCTCTTTCTCTTCTGGAGCTTTTTCTACAGGAACTTCTTTTATGACGACTTCTTCTTCCGGTTTCTCCTCGACCGGCACTGCTTTGCGCTCCTCAGGTTTCTTTGTTGGTAATTCTTCGGCAATGGTTTCTGGGACAATTTCTGTGGTTTCAACAGTATCTTTTGGAACAACTTCTTTCTTAGCCTTGATCTTCTTTGGCTTCTCTTCCGGGATTTCTTCTATCTTCTCCTCGCGTTGTTCCTCTTCTGCAACAGTCGGTTTCTTTTCTGGGATTTTCTTTTTCTTTGGTTTCTCTTTCGGTTTCTCTTCCTCTGGTTTCTTTTCTTCTGGTTTTTCTCGCACAGGTTTTACTTCTTCCGGTTTCTCTTCTACTGGCTTTTCTTCTTCCACCTTCACTTCCTTCGGTTTTTCTTTCTTTTCCTCTGGCTTTTCTTCCTTCACTTCTTCTTTCACCTCTTCTTCAGGCTTCTTTTCAGGAATTTCCTTTACTTTTGGTTTTTCTTCAATCACCTCACCATTCGTTACAACTTCTTCCTTCTTTTTCTTTTTAGGTACCTTCTTCACAGAAACTTCAGTAACCTTTGCCTCTTCTTCAACTTTTTCTTCCTCTTTAGGAGCAGCCTTCTCTTCCTTTGGCTTTTCCTCTTCTATCTCCTCTGTCGTAACCTCAGCAACCACCTCAGTTGTTTGTAATTCCTCCTTAGGAAGAACAGTTTTCTTAGCTTTTCTCTTCTTCGGTTCTTCCTCCGTAATCTCTTCTACAATTTCCACTACTTGCTCTTCTTCAGCTTCTTTTGGTGTTAATTTCTTTTTCGGAGCTTTCTTTACGGTTATTTTCTTCTCTTCCACTCTAGCTTTCTCTTCCCTTTCCTCAATCACTTTAGCCTTATCTTCTTCCGGTTTCTCTAACTCTAGTTCCTCTTCCGCAGTTGTAGGAACAACTTCGGTAGTTATAATACCATCCTGAGGTGTAATCTCTTTCTTGGCTTTTGTTTTCGTCGGCTTTTCAGTTATAAGTTCTTCTACTTCTTCCTCCGGTTGCTCTTCAGTTTCAGGTACACCTTCTTTCGGTGCTTTCTTCACTTTAATCTTCTTCGTGATCACCTTTTCTTCCGTTTCTTTAATCTCAACAGCCTTCTTCTTAGGTTTGATCTCTTCTGGAAATTCCTCCGTAGTCAGTTCAGAAATCACCTCAGTCACTTCGACAGCCTCTTTCTTCGTAACAGTTGGTTTTGCCTTCTCCTTTTTAGGCACCTCGACTTTTACTTCTTCCACAACTTCCTCCTTCTCTTCTGCTTCGACGGCTGTTGACGGTTTCTTCTTTTTCTTCGGTACCTTCTTCACTTCCACTTGGGTGACTTCTGCCTTTTCTTCTTCCACTTCCGTGGGCTTGGCTTCTTCAGGCTCAACCTTCTCTTCGAGCAATTCCTCGACAGAAGTTTCACTTATAATTTCAGTGATTTCTAAACCTTCTTTCGGAAGAATCCTCTTCTTGGCTTTCTCCTTCACAGGTTTTTCGATCACGATCTCTTCGACTTCTTCCTCAGGAGCTTTGCCTTCTGTTATAGTAACTTTCTTCTTCTTGATAATTTTCTTAGTCGGCGTTTCAATTATTTCTACGATTTCACGTTCTTCCATAGCTTTCGCTTCCTCTATAGTCTTCTCTATAACTTCTTCCACTACCTTCTCCTTCTTGTCTTTGGGTTTCTTCCGAACGATTTTCTTCGTTGGAGTCTCGATAGTCTCAATGATCTCATCTTCTTCTTCCACTTCTTCCTCAGGTTTCCTCGGTGCTTTCTTCAAATCAACCTCCGTTACTGTAACCGTTTCTTTTTCTTCTTCCACTTTAGGTTTCGCTTTCTCTTTCTGCGGCTTCTCGATAACGATCTCTTCAACGATTTCCTCGGGAACACCGTCGTCTTTCACTACAGCTTTCTTCTTCTTCACAATTTTCTTAGTGGGTGTCTCCACAACTTCGACTATTTGTTGCTCCTCCATTTTGGTCACTTCCTCTCCCGTTTTCTGGATTATTTCCTCCACCACAATCTCCTCGTCTTTCTCTCCTCTCTTCATCGGACGAATCTTCTTTCTGATTATTTTCTGGGTGGGTGTCTCGATCGTTTCGAAGATCTCCTCTTCCTCTTTGATTACCACTTCCTTCTTCTTCTTCGGAGCTTTTCGTACATCGTGCTCGGTAATCGTCACAGTTTCCACTTCCTCTACGATCGGTCGGGCTTCCTCTTCCTGCGGTTTCTCGATTGTTATCTCCTCCACGACTTCCTCCGTAACTTCATCTTTATCCGGCACTGGCCTCTTCTTTTTGATGATT